GCAAAGCAAACCCTACAATGACTTAGTAAGTAGGCCGAAAAAAGCCTAAATCCTAATCCCTAAATTCTAATCCCTAAGCCCTAATCCTTAAACCCTAAAGCCTGAGTCCTGTAATCCCCAAGCCCTAAACCGAAAAGCAAAAGATCTTCCTTGTGCTGAGTAAGGCACTTCGCCCCTGCCGATGCCGCAGGGTATCTTCCCTCCAGAGCCTTCAGGCGCATCTCGGGAGTTAAAGATGAACCCCCATTGTTTCAGGGTTCAGGATTTAGGGTTCAGGATTTAGGGTCCAGGGTTTAGGGTTCGGGATTTAGGGTTCAGGGTTCAGGATTTAGGATTCAGGATTTAGCGTTTAGGGTTCAGGATTTAGGATTTGGGGTATGGGTCCCTGAAGTTTCCCGAAACCCCTATAGTCCGTATGAAGGGGACTCCCAAAAAAAGGGACCCGAATTTCAGGAAACTACCAAATGAGAGTTGACTGCCGTTTGTTTGAAAGTTGTTGCCTCGACCCGACTAGATGTAAAGGTCCTATGAAATCCAGTTGTCCTTATAGACACATGAGCTACAGTCTAAACTCCTCGTATCCCCTTAATAACCCCCACAATACTCCCCTATATAATCCCCTATATAAACCCTTTAATGAGTTTGGACCCTAAACCCTAGACCCTAAACAAAAAGAACTATACAATCCCCTATAGAACGCGCTTTAAGTTTAGACTGTAGCTCACATGTTCTACAGTAGTATTGAGGTTATTAAGGGGAATGTTAGGAGTCTGGATAGATAATCCCCTATGTAACCCCCTTTAAGGAGGTTAGACCCTTACCCTAAACCCTAAATGGAAAGGACTGTATAATCCCCTCTATCACCCCCTTTAAGGAGTTGAGACTGCAGCTCTCATGTACTATCGTCTAAACTCCTTGAAAAGGAGTTGAGACTGCAGCTCTCATGTACTATCGTCTAAACTCCTTGAAGGGTGGTTTATATAGGGGATTATGTTGGGGAGTAGTACAGGGGTTATTAAGGTGGATACTAGGAGTTTAGACCCTAACTTCTAAATCCTAAACCCTAAATTCTAAATCCTAAAACCCTAAAGTAGTCCCCTACATAGTATATAACCCCCTCTTAGGAGCTTAGATTATGGCTCACACGAAGAGGAGGCTGACCCAGAACGTCTTGCCTTTGGATGTGTTTACCGCATAGTCCGCACATGACATGCCATCCTCATCTCGCCAGAACCTTAGACCCAATAGTATCGTATAGCATAGCATGTACAGTATAGTACTGTACAGTAGACCATACTAAAGATAGTGTCCGATTTCTTTTCCAACTCCAAAAGTTTTCATTTTGTCTGGGCCCATGCTATCTCGTAAAGTCTATAGAGGGAGGAAAGGCTTGCGCCCGCAGGCCATGTCAAGCCAAAGGAAAGAGCTTCTTTGCAAATGAGTAGCGTTTTTTTTGGTGGTTGAACCTAGTAAGATTCTATTCCTTATATAAAATACTATGCCCAAAAGGAGGAGATAATCTTACTCTATATTGAATACCATAGTATCCCCAAATTAAATACCACTCAAATGGGGCACGGATCATCCACACAGGGATACCGGTGCTCCGGCGGCGTCATGTTGTAGGGGAGAAAGCGGATGTCACTCTGCAGCGTCCTCCGAGCTTAGGGGTGGGTCACTTTGGTTTGGGGTAGTCACGCCCATCATAGGGTTTAGGGTTTTCACATGTTGCATGTCCTTTGCGAGATCTTCATTTTGAGGCTGTCCATCAGCGAGAAGTAGAGCGCAATGTACAGAATCCACTGTATGCAGTTGAAGAACATAAATAGGGCGCTGTAGTGGCAGTCTTTCCCATGGAACAGACTCCGCTTCCACGCCAGCATGGTGAGCCCGCGCCCAAGGATGCAGGCCACAAACACTACGGGGAAACAGCGACCTGGCAGGATCACCACAGTAGCGACTAGCAAGGCTTGTGACAATTTATATGCACTCCGTCGATGAAGACGCTGACCCTGGTCTGGCACGATGCCATGTTGCGGATGGGTTCGGATAGTTTTTCTCACAAACAAAGTGCAGAGGAGAACTCTGACCAAAACTTCCCTAATATAACCCATCATAGTAGGTTCCATTTCATTTTCCATTATCCCAATATATATGGGAAGCCAGGTGTCATCAGAACATTCACAGGTTTTTCTGGCTTGGATGGGAGCACAAGGCCTTGGCAATCTACAATAAGAATAGAAACAAGTTGCACCAGACTGGCACGGAACAAGCTGCCAAAAGAGAAAACTCGAGAGGGCTTTGGTTGACGGCTGTTGGCAGAATGCCGGGCATAAATCACAAAGCAGTGAAGCAAGTGAGGCCCAACTTCAGAGCAATTTGTGGAGCCCAGCCTGCCCGAAGCAATTCAGAGGCCTTGTCTTCATGCATGCCGCGAAACTCCAGAATTTTGAGCAGTTCAGGCCAATTCAAGATTTCCCATCTCCTCGGCTTCATTATTAAAATCCCCATCATGTGCCCAATCCCAAGTAGATTTGTTGTGGACTCTGTGCTATTGTAGCAGGGTACTCGTTCTTCTCCCAAGTAAACTCAGCTTGCAATCCAGCTTCCACATGGCCAGGACAAGGAGAAATTCAAAGAGCAGCCCGATTCCAAGCGGCACCCAGAAGTGGTGGAACTTCTCGCGCAGGAAGCCGTCCTGTGTTTTGTGGAGGCAGGGAGGCTCAAAGCGGTTGCACCTGCAGGAAATATATAGGGATAATGGAAAAGAAAATGGAAACGACTATATTATGAACTATATTCTATAGGGTTATATAGAGGAATGTAATGGCCTCAAACTTTCTTTGAAATGTCATGGGGTCCGCACTGTGGCGCAGAGATCCTGCCTCAGCTTACAGATTGGAGCAATCAAGTGGCCGCCCGGTCCTTGCGCTCCACACAGCACGTCCGAGCCTGCTCGAGCTCTTTTGGAGGGGTCTAGTAATATTGGGATAATATTGGGATAATATTCGGGTAAGGTTATATTGAGGGTCATATTAGGGTTATATGGTAAGTATTATATATTGGGGTAATATTTCTTGCGGTTAGGGCCAGCGCACCAGAATCTGAATTCAACCCTGCTACGGCAGGGACGACTGAAACAGCATTTTCAAGCGAAACCGTCCGAAGAAATGCATGTCGAGACAGCAAACTGTTGATAGCCAAACATGAATGTTCACAGGATCGCCTCGCCCTCGGACGCATCGTCTGTGTCATCGGAGGACTCATTTTGCATAAGCTGACGTGCGGCAGACATGGCACGTCAGGCAGCCTGATAGCAATTGTAAAAGAGGCCGCTCTGCTCCGGCCCCAAGTCACTCTGACTGGTATTAAGGGGTATCATTGGTTGGAGGCTGCAAGTTCACAACAGAATCAAGAATCACGTCAACTGTACCTCCAGTGCATACTTAATTTCCTGGTCTCAGCTGAAGCCATCGTGGCTAACGGCAAGCTATCCAGTTGTGATTCCAACAGCGGATTTTTCATACCGACCTACAGCAAAGAACAATCCTGCTCAAGGCTCACCTGGGCATTCTGAAAAGCAACATGTAGGCATTGGTACACTGCTAGTCCGTCAGCACTTGCAAGTAGCAGAGTTCAGATACGGCCCACAGTAAGGAGAAAGTCTCCAAAAGCTGTTCAGTTGAGGGCAGAAGATATAACTTCGAGCAAGTTTGATCATTCTGGGTATCTGCCAACCTTCGGAATTGCCATTTAAGCTATGGCAATTTGGTCTGCTGCCTTGCGAAGACCCCAAGCTAGCGTTGGCCAAACCTGTTGGAGATAGTCCTTACTTCCAGTTGCTTAGTGTTCAGAGTTTAGAGTGTAGGGTTTAGGGTTCTGCAAAACCTACTGGATCCATGTAAAATAAAAGTCCATCTGTAATCCACAGTTGGCCTTCACATTCTTCCTCAATGATTAAGAACCAGGAAACCCTCAGCCTGCAGCCCTATGTAAGCCTAAACCCGAAGCCCAGAACCCTAAGCCCTAAACCCTACACCCTCCACCTTATATATTTCGACCATAGGCCTCAGCTGACACCATGTGGTTTTAGGGCTTTAGGATTTAGGACTTTAGTCCCCCTGAAGTAGCTGGAATATGGGGTATACGGGGGAACTTAAATATAGTCAAAGCCATATTCCATCTACTTAAGGGGGACTATAATCCCAAACCCCAAACCCTAAACCTTAAATTGTAGTTTCCATTTTCTTTTCCCCTATCCCTGTATAACCCCAATATAACCTTTATTCAGGGGGACTATATTCCCCTAGTTTCCAGTTCATTCTCCATTTTCTTGTCCATTTGAGTCTCCATTATAGGGGGATAATAGGGGATTATAACCCATATTCTATCTACTTAAGGGGCGTTATACCCTAAACCCTAAATAGTAGTTTCCATTTTCTTTTCCGTTCTCCCTCTATAACTCCAACATAACCCCTATATAACCCAAAAAGGGGCCTTGGAGCCCCAGGAGACGGGAGACCCTGTAGGCCCCTGAAGGCCCCCTGCTCAGAGAACTTTTTCCCCTCAATGTTTCTGGGGTCCCGCAAAGGGGCGTTCAATTTTAAAAACAGATAGGGTTTAGGGTTTGAGGGTTAAGGGTTTAGGCTTTAAAGGTTTAGGGTTTAAGGGGTTTAATGTTTAGGGTGAAGGGTGGATATAGGCGAGACGGACAGGCGACGAGCGAAGGAAGAACACTTGCCATGAATGCTAAATCAAAAGGGATTCTGGGAGGGTAGGGTGATACCAAAACACATGGAAGAGGAGGGGCCTTGCCAATTACTTGGACTTGAGATGCTGAACCCCACAGACTACACCCTGAATCCTCAACCCTGAACCCTAAAACTCTAAATCCTAAACCCTAAGTCCTAAACCCTAAACCCTAAATCCTAAATCCTATGCCCTAAACCCTAAGCCCTAAACCCTAAACCCTACACAACCCTATGTTTCCCAGTCGTAGCCTTGACTCCGAGACCCAGCTTGTCACTGGCCACCTTCAGCTTCTTCAGCCCCTGCCATGCTAGGCATTTTGGATTGAGGGTTAAGGCTTTAGGGCTTGGGGTTTAGGGTTTAGGGATTAGAGTTTAGGGTTTAGGGCTTTGGGCTTTAGGGCTGAGGGTTTAGGGTTTAGGGCTTAGGTGTTAGGGTTTCAGGTTTAGGCTCCTTGTAGGGAGGTATAGGGGCCAATTCTAAGGGATAGAAAGTCTACATAGAAGTTATATAGGGACGTGTAGGGTCCCTTTCAAGGAGGGTTTGGGGGCTATATCAGGTTATGTTTTGGATGTAAAGGGTGTATAGGATGTTTTGTGTGTATGGGCTGTTTGTCCAGGGGGGATAAGGGCTACACGCGCTTTTTGGATGTATAATGTCCTAGTTGAGGGGATTTAGGCGCTGTAAAGGCGCTACACAATGTATACAATTGCAGACTACTCAGATTCCTGCTGCTAGACTAAGTGGTGGACTGTATAGATCTGTACAGGACTACGGACATGAGCACATCTCAAAAGAACAGTTGACTAGCGTCTGTGTTGGTGGTTGAACCAAGTAAGATTTTATTCTGTATGTAAAGTACTAGACCACAAGGAGAATATCATCCTACTCTACGTTGGGTACCATAGTGTCCCCCAATGAACCATTGTCGAAACAGCTAACATCTCCTTTAATAACCGTGATAGTAGTCCCCTATATCATCCCTTATTTATATAACCTTCTTGAAGGGGTTGAGATTATGGCTCAAACACCATACTGCTCAGGTGGTCTTGGCCTCCAAGTAGTTCGGCCCAGCCCGTCGGCACCAGATGTGGATCTTGTGTTCCTTCCAAAGCAATGCATGCGGTAGTCTCCCTAAGTAGGGGGACCCCAATACAGAACCTGAAATACGACAGTCCTCCTTATTACAGGGACCCCCAAAAAGATACCCCTAATTTTGGGAAACCCCCATGTGATGGATTAAATCGTGCTTTGGCAATATCATTCAGGCCACGCTTTTAGAAGCGTGAAACTTCGAATGTCAATTGGACGCCCCAAGCAGCACCTGGTCTTCCTCAGAGTTGTTACCCTGAACCCTAAACCCTAAACCCTAAACCCCAAATCCTGAACCTTAAACTCCAAATCCTGAACCCGAAACCCTAAATCCGAAATCTTGGATGATCTACTCTTTTCCATGTTCTTCTACATAATCGCAAACCTGCATTCTCTTGGACTTCCTCCCTCTGTCCGAGGTGCCAAGCTAATCTTCCCCGGGCCTTGATCTGATCTGCAAACATCTGCAGGGCCTTGATGAGGCCGGTAAAGGTGGCCTTACAACCACGCGAATTCGGAAGGGTTAGGGTTTATGGCGGAATGGGGGTAATATAGTAATATTGGGATTATATATTTGGAGAATGGAAAAGAAAATGGAAACACTATTTAGGGTTTGGGGTTGAAGGGTTTGGGGTTTAGGGTTCACCGAAGCTCAGTGACATGTCTTGGGCTTAATCTAGCAGATTTTACAAGCTCCCCGCTAGGGACTTTAGATAAACGGACACCACCAAGATCTGGGCTGCCACATCGGTGAAGTTTGCGATGCCTGGACAGGAATGAGAGCTGGCCGATTTGACTCAGTTAGCAGAACAGCTCGGCCCAGAGTAGCTCCCTTGTGAATCTATGTGCGCCATGGAACCCCAACCCTAAACCCTAAACCCTCTCCGGCCTCCCCCGATGATCAGGAACTTCCCCTCTGGGTGCTTGTAGCGGCACATCAGGGAAAGGATTGTCTTTGCATAGGTGAAGGTCTCCTTGCTTCAGCACAACTATAGGGGTGATATAGGGGTTTTATAGGGGTTATCTAAGGATAATGGAAAAGAAAATGAAAACGACCGTTTAGGGTTAAGGGTCTGAGGTACTGCCCCCACCTATAACAATCTGTGTTAGGGGTCATAATCAGGGCTATATCTAAGTACATCATGAATATTATCCAACTGTTACAGAGTAGGGGCAGTGCCCAAACTACAACTGCAAGCAAAATGCAAGCATCATTCGGGCAAACTTGGCTGTTGCGGGCTGCTCTCACGATTGAAGCGTGTGGCTGGCAGTGCAATCTTGAATTCCTAGATGTAATAGTAATGAGGACATTAACAAGAACAAAGTAGTGACAATGATAAGAACAACAAAAATAGTAAGAGCGAAAATATTAATCATACTAATCATGATGATGATTTTGATAACAGTAAAAGTTATGATAATAGCAATAATGATAGTGGAATATGATAAGTAATAGCAACAGTAATATCTAAAATATTCATATTCGGAATACTTGTAGTACTAAATATCATTAATGATGAACAGACTCTTATCCTCAACTCTTGGCACAACCTTGCGCGAGAAGGGGCGTTCCCAAAGAAGCTCACAAAACCCAGGAAACTCAAGACTAATCCGCTCAGGGGACCTCCGTGGAAGGAGCGCCGGAGTATTCTCCGTAGTTTGCCAGCTCCTTTCCCCATCCATAGTCCTGGCGGGCTTGGTTTTCATTACATGAGCAAAAGTCTAGTCTCCCAGTACCCCTGAAGCACCCCTGTACTAAGATCCCTAGATAACGCCTTATATACGGATCAAGCACCACAGCGAAACATTTGCGAAAGCGGTTTAGGGTTTCTCTGGATAGATTTAAGGATCCTATGAAATTTCAATCGTGGGTTATATAGGGATCAGGGTCCATAATCATTAGTTGTTGTTGCCCACCCTAAACCCTAAACCCCAAACTCTTTCCCTCAAAATTTGTCGGAGAGGCTGCCACAGTGTCAGAGTAGACAACTGAAGCTCCCCCGCCGGCTACCATGGTCCAAACCTTGCCGTTTAGGGTTTAGG